CCCCCCCCCCCCCTCCTCTCTTCATCCAAACGGCAGGGGAAGACGACACGAATCAGTAAGCTTCGTGAAGATCACGCCATTGACGATGGTGTCAATTTACGCTCTGATTCGACGGGCAGCAACCAACTGGGGTGCAGAGCACACGGAGAACCAGTGGACGATGATGGCGTCACCTGGATGACCATCGAGGATTCCAGCAACAAACAAAAGATTGCAATTGAAGTCGCCGTCAACATGGATTCTGGCTGGATCGTTTGTTGATACGCTTGGTTCCTCATGCATCACTCTGTTCTTTCCTTTTCTCTCTCTTTCTCCGTCATGACATGCAATCAGGAGAGCGCATAATTTTGAAACCCCCTGCGCGTCACATATGTGACGAGCTACTTCCCTAACCCATGCTATCTTTTGTACCCCTGTTTTTGTATCATACCAACCCCATTAAAAAACCCCTTTCGTTTTCTTGTTTTCGGATGCCGCATTTCCTTTTTGGCCCTCATCGTCTGGAAGCTTTTTCGATTTTCGGGTTCTGTTTTTCCTTTTTGCAAGTCGTGAAATACATGGGAAGTTACGTGCGCCTTAGCGAGCGCACTGGGAATTGGGCTCGGCGGTTGGGAATTCCGAAATAAGAGGAACTTCGACATGTCCTCTTCGTGTGTGTGAATGTTCTCGGTCGTGTCGAGGAAAACTCTCGGAATTTTGCGTCAATACGAATAGGCATAGGATTTTCTTTTCCCGCTTTGCTTTTTCGTGCGCGGATATGGTGATTTCAATTTTGAATTAGGATAGAAGCAAGTTGTAACTGTTTCGGTGCCTTTTTCTCTCTTTTTGTTGACGGCGCCGCGTATGCAAAACTTTCTCCTCTCTGTCCCCCGCATCGCTCCCTCCCGCGCTCCCTTTCCCTTCTCCCTCCTTTTTCTCTCTCCCCATAACTTTTTTCTTTTTCTCTCTCCCTCTCTCCCGCCTTGCTTTTTGCGCGTCCATTTCCCTTTCTGGATCATCTGAATCTTGGACCCGTCTTGCGCTACTTCTCGCGCCTTTTCTCTTCTCACCCTCCGAGTCTGGCGCACGACGCCCGGTCGATCCATCGATAACTCCCGCTCGCCAATCAGGTGCGTGGATCAATAGGACCTTCTTATTGCGCGACGAATCTGATTGGTTGAACCTTGAGTTTCAGGGGATCAACATGGCGTTCGTAAAACACTCTTCTCAAAGTTTTCTCCTCCTGCTTCTCCTCTTACACCTCAGCTTTCCCGTCGCTTTTTCCCCCTTTTTTCTCCCTTGTCGCAACTATAAGACCCGCAAGCGCGCCCGCATATCTCTCTTACGTTCTCGACTCCTAAGCCAGCTTCCGGGAAGCAGTGGCTAGGCAGAGTGTTTTGATGCGAGTTGGAAAGTCATGTCGGGCTGACGATAGGCTGGCGGGTTGCGCGCTGGATCGCCACGACGGACTGTGGGATCCGGACGAACCGTGTCAAGTTTACAACAGCGGGGTGACGATCGCAGTGGTGGGAGTTAGCACGCGACGGCCGGGATCGTCAATGCGGGTATGAGGATCGATGATTGGAGTTGAGTGAGTGATTTGCCCGGGGCCATATTGGAATTAACGGCGAATGCGACTTTGTTGTTGCGGATCTTTATCTTTGGCGTGAGTGTACGGCGGCCATGCCGAATGTCTCTCTTCCAGATCTGGTCATCCCCTATCTCGACTCTCCTCCCTCACCTCCCCCTCTCTTCCCTACTTTTGAAGAATGATGTGTCTCGACGTCTGCCTCTCTTTTTCTCTTAGATGAGAATGAATTTGTGTGTCTTCCTTGTGTGAAAGAACTTCTTCCAAAACTCTTCCATTAGTTTCCTGGGTAATCCTCCTATAAAAGGACCCCGTCTTCTTGTCTTGTGAACGGTGGATGCGTGTGTATTGTAAGCGATCCATCTTTTCCTGTGCATGTCTCATTTTCGCACCTTCTACAGTGGATGTATGTATGGAGATGTGTGACCCTTTTTAGACGATTGTCGTCGGGATTTTGTT